CCAATTCACCAACAATTTTTCATTCCGAACAGTGTTTACAGATTCTTCTGGTTTTTTTTTAACTGAAGTGATTATTTTCCCTGCAAAGTACACCTTTCCATAGAAGATACATGCTTAGTTAAAAACTTTTATCAAACAAACATAAGTTGTTTGAAGTTTGTCAAAAAGTTTGAATTCCTTAAAGTCAAAGGAAATAAGCGTTATGAATATTTTGTCCAGAAGTCATCCTTAAACAAACAAAACCCACACAAATCACCACCCTCCCCCCCCCAACAAAAAATACAGCAGAGCGCCCATATGAGCAAGAATTTGTGAGAACATGTTTTAGAGGCTGATTCTGACCTACACAAGTGGTCTAGGAATTTAAGTAGGTATCAGCAGAAATGTGGGGAAAAACACCCAACCCTCTACCCTGACACCATCCTATTTACCTTAGCTCGTCTGCCCCATGGGCAGAATGGGATGTACAGGTCTACAACCCTCCCTTCACTTTTCTTCTCACCAAGCTGTAATCATGACCACAGCTAAGCAATTCCATTTGCCTATGTTTAAACCAACCCAAGACCAAGCATTAGAAAACCTCAGGTATTTCAGAAAGACTGGGAGAAGCATGAAAGCGAAGTTTGAAACAAACTGTGAAAGGAACAAAACTACAGAGAAAGGCGACCTGCAACTCAGCCCTCTCTCTTTAACTTTGTTCTCACTTCAATGAGAACGAAACTGGAAGCATTAAGAGACCATTACTGAGAAACACATTTCAGAATAAACACAGGATCAGGGACAACAATAAGGCCATAGAACAATAACACCAGGAAAGACAACAGTGAGCAGAAAGGACTGAAAAAAAGCTGGAGACAAAGATGGGAATAAACCCAGAATGTCAAGAATCAGGTTCTTAAGAGGCTAATTACAGGCTATAAGAAGTCATACAGAATAAGCACAACAGTACAGACGTTCTTCCCTGCTTTAAGCCACTGACCGAAAAGCAAACTGCCATTTTAAATGTTAATCAGAAATTCAAATTAAGAAACTTGGTGCCACTACATAAGAAAATTCTGACATTCCACATCCATAAAACTCTTTATTCCAGTACCTGACTAGGCAGCACACGTGTACACTTCCTTGATCTCAGACACCGAAGCTGAACTCTAGCCTATTTCCCAACCCATCCCATATTTACCAACCCTCACTGCAGAAATGTAGATCAGCTTAAAGAGGTAGTACCTAACAGCCAATCCAGACTAGGATTCAGAAACCACTTTTCAAAGTCAAAATTAAAACACTTCAGAAACAACAACAACACATCAGTATGACATTAATGTAAAATATTTAAATGTAAAGAATAACTGGGAGTTTTTCAGGGCAGAAAAAGAAATTTAGAATTACCTTTTCACTACCTGCCAAGTCCACAAGGTAAAGTTTTCCACTTAGTTTCTGTTCTGTTTGAGTATTCTCTTGTTTTACATTAATAAGAAAAATACTATGACTTCGGGAGCTGTGTTCATTCATATCTATAAACCAAAATATATAAATGGTCAAACAGTTATACAATCAAACTAACTTAGCAAAACAGTACCTTCCCCCAGTGAAACGACAGCTCGAAAGCTAATAGAACAGTATAGAACAGTCTCAGTGGCAGTAAAAACCACAGTACCATCAAAGTGAGTAACAAAGATCCAGTCTCCCTGCCTAGTAACACAACATAAGCTCGCTGATAAGATTTGTTAGACTGTCAGCTATCGAGTTCACACATTTCATTTACTCTAATAGAATAGAAAACATATTTACATTCCGATACTAGAACTTTTGGGTTTTTGGCAGATTTACAATGTATCCCATTTTATCCTTTTGTGAAAACTGGCACCAGAAGGCAATAGCCTCTCACCCCTTTCTGCTTTAATCACCAACTGCCCCCCCTCTGCTGTGAAACATGCAGAGTAAACAAGGCTTACTGAATTTAATGAATTATGTTAGTTCATTAACAAAGTTTAAACTGACTGCCATCTGAATGAGACCATCACCTTATTTCTTCTTCCTTTTAACCATAAATCCCTCACAGGCCTAAAAGAACCAACTTATTGATGGTTCAATAAACCATCAATATTGAACCATCAGAAGCAGCTCAACAGAGTAATATCCTTCTATCCAAATCTATGTTATTTCTCCACTACTTAGGCCGGTCCCCCACTTCAGAACCTTACTACGTAGGAGCAACAGAGTGGAAGTGCAAGAGTCATTTCTTTGATTAAGAATCAAAAAATTAAAATTATGTTCTTGTCAAGGAATGAGAAGAAAAATCTTATTTTTGCAGTGATTTTTTTTCCCCCTGAATAAAGGGCTAGACACAGGAAGATAGTGAAACTCACCCTCCAAGATTTCTGACAGTTGCTAAGAAGTGAAGTATTATTTTGCATGGACCTCATCTTTCCTTGGTTTTGGTGGGGCATTTTTGTGTGTGTGGTTTTGGTTTTTTAACCCTCTCGCTTCCTAATCCTGCTTCTTGTTGGAATTAAGAGACCTATGACATGGCTTCTTGCAACTCAGTTGCACACCACAGGCCAAAAACCTTGAGATGCTGGGATGCTGCTTAAATCTGCAGCACATGTGAATATACATTCTGATCAGCCTTTCTTGGAATATGTAACAGAATGGCCAAACAGTAGACGAGTCACAGTGCCTTACTTATAGATTTGTAGGTTAACTGAAACAAAATTCCACAAACTGGGATTCCGCACTATTCTTAATGCAGAACTACACTTTTTCCTCCAGTGATCCAGAGTTTCTCACTGATCACTTACTTTCTCCTTTCAATCCAAGCCTAAGTAACAGCTCACAAGAAATGAATTGAAATACTTGTTTCTGAAAGACATGCTGAAGCTGCTTATGCTAGACCCTTTCAAACACCTGAATGATTCAGCTCGCTATTTTTATCTTCCCTACCTTTTAAGGCATACCAGAAGCAAATCGATAAAGCACTAAAAGGAGACAAAAGAGAATACTTACTTGTAACTGCTACATGACGGTTTGATTTTCCTTCATCTATAGTATCCATAACTTCTTCTGGACTACATACAAAACGCTCTGTGCAACCCTTCAAAAAAAAAAAAAAACACCACATCAACAAGCCAGAAGTAAATGACATACACCAGCGGAGCAAAAAATGAAAACATAGCAGACTGATGCTCACCTTTACATAGGGAACTCTATTTTTGTCCTCGTGAACAGAAAGATTGGTCTTTGAAACTGGAAGAGAAAAAGTTCTAAAGCTGAGGTATATATGTTTCTTTGCAAAATCAGTGAGCTGTGTACAGTGCATGTCTGAGTCACAGATGTTATTTCCCAGCAACACTTCATGAAAAGTTAATATATATATGAAGCAACCACTACCGTAGCTTTAGTAAAATCATGTACATTAGCTCCATACTTTCTCATTTTGATGCACCCTTACCAGGTATAGATTATTAGCATACTGCATACCTATCTTAGTATCATGACAAGGTTTGGGTCTTTATTTTAATCTATCTCTCCAGAACATTCTATTTTCTATGCTCAGTATAAATAAAAGGCTTACCATCCAAAAGGTCCCTTATTTTATCCAAGTATATTTCAAAATATGACACCTAGAAGCAGGAAGGAGATTAAAGATACAGCATCAGAAAGCAAAAATTATTTGCTTTTTGATCGTAAGGATCCAGCATGATTATTATGGCCTCCCACATAATACCACATCTAGCTCAAGTCCTTAAGGTTGAACTAAAATACACCTTTAAGAAGAAACTATTCTGATCAAAAGCTTCAGGCACTATGAGCACTGCCATAAGTTATCAGGATAGCTACCATCAATGTTTAATGGAAACAAGATTAAAGTGTTAACGTAATTCTTCTTTAAGGAGAGTCGGTTACTTCAACAGTAACTCATGTTTAGATTTTCCAAGTTACAGGCATTTGAAACAGATACAGAACATCGATTTAACTATAGCTACTTCCAGTTCAATACAGGTAAAATAGGTAACAATGAAGAAAAGTTTACCTTAATATGAAACTCAAGATTCTCATCCATAGAGTAAATATAATTAAAAATATCTTGTACTATCCTTGGAATAATACCCATTCCATCCGGGTCGTGAAGCTTCCCCTTAACGGCAAAAGGTATAATAAATTGAAACATTCATACTGAACCCAACATCATGAACAGCACCCGAAGGCAGAACGAGCAGTTAACAGACAAAATGCCGACAGGTAGGATGCAATTGTTTTATCTATAAAGGGAAGTCTTGACCATCCACTTAGGCACAGCATTTGCGAGGAGTGAAAAGAACAGCCACAAAAGTTTCCCAAACCACTAAAAGTGAAAAGGTACTATTAACATTATTCTTACATCTCTCATCCTGTTACTGAGGGCTGAGAAAATACAATAATTGCCATTCTCAGTCCTAAAAAACATTTTGGGTATCAAAATGTTCAATGGAAAGAAAGTTAAGGTTGCAAGATGAAAACAACATCTTATTTCTAGAAAGATGAAGCTATTGTGATGAAAAGAGCAGACAGTAACATTAAGAGGAAAATTATTTCAAGATTTCTTACTTCCATAGTGTGTGTCTTTCCAGACGATGTTTGCCCATAAGCAAATATTGTACCATTGTATTGGAAAGAGTATTTTCATTAGGGTTCATTTATTTCCTCCTTCTAAAGGAAAGTCGAACAAAACGCAAGCAGGCAGTTCCTAAAGTGTTCAGCAAGTTAAGTCATTCATTGTTTGGGAACTCTGTGCTAGAGCTGGGGGGAAGGAGGCTATTCCTCCCCACTGCTTTTAATGCATTAAGTCATCATTAACTGTGTTTTAGAAGTTTACTGTATTAGAAGCATCCTTTCCTTCCACCAGAAAAATCAGGACTTCAGGGTCAGGAACAAAGAGGAAATTGCTACAACTGCCAGGTTGAACAGAGAGTCTTTGGTAACTCAGAAGAAGAAAACACACACGAGAATGCTATAATATTTTCTGCCTTCAGGAAATTTTAATTGTCCAGTTGTGAAGAAAATGGGCTATCCCGTAAGTTTCAAGCATCTACTCTCTGGCTGTAAGCTTTTATTTCAGATTATGAATGAACCAACCCAAGCTTTAGATTAAGGGGTGAGGGGCTGGTGGGTTGGTTTGTTTACAAGTCAGCTACAGCAGAATCACATCACCCTGCAAGCAAACTCTTATTTTCCAAAAACAAGACTATGATACTTTAAATGGGGAAGTCTTGCTACCCCATCACACCCATAACCCGTTTGTACCACCACTGGAGCTCACCTGCCATGATGTAGCACAGCCTAGAAATGCCACACAGAGAAACAGATTATACTCTTAGATGGAGGAACGGGGCAGCATTACAATTCTTGGTTAACTCCAGTTTTTAAGGGGCAAACTTGTGATCTAATCCTAATTACTACTTAAATCATTAAAGAATTAAATACTTGCAGCAACATGGATTTTCCACAGCAATTCACTATGCTAAATGATCAAAGAAATCCTACATTTACCCAATCTTCTCTTGCCATGAACAGTTGGTATTTCAGGGGGTTCTGACAAACTTTGTTAAAGTTGTTTTGAAAGTTGTTTCAATTAGAACTTATCACTGATCAAGAAATTAATCAATTTTATTGTCAGGAAACTAGCTGTCCACTTAGTACCACAATTTACAGTGTGCTACAACCTTCTTTGTGGTAACACTTGATTTTCTGACGTTACTGGTCCAATTCTTACAACTCAGGTTTGGAGAAACTGTACACCCTGACACGCACAGCAGCAACTCACGTTTACACTATTAATTGTGACGCTAGAAATCACATTCCAAAAAATCCTCCTTAAAGTGTGTATTAAGTACACAAACTTAGAGAAAAAAAAAAATCTCTGCTATGCACATGATTTCACAAGTTCCCTTTCCTCTTATAGTCTGCCAAACAAACTAACATAGGATGTTTTCACCAATAAATTTGAGGGGGGTGCAGGGAGGAACCACAAACCAACCAACCTACTCGTAAGGGCTCTTCTGATTAATTTCTGACAAATTGTTTTAAACAAGCTTTTGCAGAAAACTGCAAAAAAACCAAAACATGACAGATAAATTATCACGTGTTGCAATCGACTGAAAGAGCAGGTTAAGCGTTGGCACAATTTACCAGCTGAACTACGGGATGATCTTATACTGCTACAATCTGAGTCTGCTCTTATTAAACATTCAGAAGGTAAAAGCAAGCAATACAAGTATCAGTTTTCAGCACTGAAATTCACCCGAACACGAGACATTTCCTGACGGTTAAACTTGCAGTTCCACCTTACCTTTGACAATCTTTTTAGCACAATCATTGTATACTTGTTCCTGGGATGTGTTTGACTGGAATACACGGTCAAATATATACGGCTTGGACTGGAGGAAAAAGAAAAAAAAGACAGAGTTATTAAAAAAAAGATACTGGAAGTCAAACAGGAAGGTGTTTGTTCATATAGCTTAGAATTAAGCTTTAAATTAAATTTATTTGTTTTGAAGTGCAACCTGAATAGTCCTCCTTAACTACTCTGCCACATAACCTCAATTTACTTGATTTACAATGTAAAGCAATGCCTAGTCTGTACACCTGAAAACTCATTCTCTTCTACTCTGGTAGTGGGCTTACTCTGGTAAACCCAAATCATTAAAAACATCTTATACCGCATCACACAGGGTATCTGCCTTGGTAATATTTGGTAAAAACCTCAAACCAAAAACTAAAACATTCAGATCACCTGCCGTAAGCTCAAGAACTACTTCCCCATACATGATATCCTTACAATAAAGCTCCATAAGCAGAAGGAAAAGGCTACTTTGGAGGAAAGGAACCTGTCACTGAAAACTCAGTTTGGAAGACACTACAAGAAGAAGCTCAGACATAGCTTTTTGAAAAGGATGTTGGATTTTGATTTGTTTAAAGAAGAGATTTTCCTAACAGCTCTAAGCAGCTGACAATCCATTATGATATGAACTGTTACACGCATCTTATGAATTTCCAAGCATTTTCAGGGCTTGACTGAGCAGGCAGCCAAGAAGATAGGCCAGGTTTACAAGGAGCCTAGGTCAGTTACCATTGCTAAGCTCACTGCAACTGTTAAGTGCTCCATTTTGCCTAAATTTAGTTCATTATCATCTTCCCTCATGGATATTCTGGAACTGCCTCCCTGGCAAAGAAACAAGTACAACTTCCATCTTTCACCCACCCACCACATTCCTTTCCCCAGAGTGATCTTCCACTTGTGTAGCATAACACCAAAGCTTTTCAGATTCAACACGTGTTTATCTGCTGAGAGGGCTTGAATTCAGGTGGGTGAGCTCCCTCTTCGGGGGGGGGGAAAAAAAGTAATTACAGCCTTCACTGTGTAAATACTCTCAAGAAACCACAACACTCAGTAGGCAGAAACTATCCCTAAGGTGCCAAAGTTTGTCAGAACACTTGTTTCACAGCAGGGAAATCACAAGCCTTCTTGATTACTCATGTTAGCTTCAAATACGCCTCGAATTCACATGTCATACAGGTAGAACTGAGGCCATTACATACACCAGAAGACAACTAACAAGTTCAAGTAACCCTGAGGTAAGAAAATGAAGCCTCAGAACGTTACATAAAAAGGTAAGTCATTGTAGGAAAGAGAACACTAGCTATACATTTTGTTTCTCACTAGCAGCTGGAGTTTCTAAAAGCCTCCAACTTCACAAGTATCAACTAGCTACACTACACACTGCAAGTCATCTACATCACAAAATATTAATCAGATCTGTCTCATGCTCAAGTTCTTCTGCATATTTGTATGCACCGAAATAATAAGATTTTGGAGGATCATATTTACCATTACACGTGGGAAAAACAACAAGGAAAGTGATAGCATCTAACGTCACTGCAAACAATCTGCAGCATTAGCAATTTGTGTTCGTGCCTGTAAGAGTTAAACTCCTCCAAATTTTACTCCAGAAAATATATAGATAACAATTACTCTAATTAAATTGATTTTAGAAGAATTAGGTAAAGTTCCTCTGTGTGACCTTCTGATAGTCTGTGCAGCAACTGTAACAACATTACTTTCTCACCGATCCCCACATATCTGATCTTTCCTGATCCCAACAGAACATGACAACTGTGAGTACAGAAAAGTACATTAATATGCAAACACTATTCTGCACACGTATGTGTATACATTCAAACACATATAATTGTGTATTTATATATAACTACAGAATATTTCAGATGCCAAATAGATTTTTTACTTCAAAGAAATACAACTTCAAAAAAAACCAAAACAACACACAAACCAAGCACACAAAAACAAAACAAAAAACCAAGCCTAGCCTCCACTACAGGAAGATACCTTGTTTAGAAAGAACTCTAGGCACAATATGAACTAGTCTGCAACCATCAAACTGCATGATCTTCAAGGTCCCTTCCAACCCAAACCATCTTACAATCTATAGTGTTTGCAGCAGGTTCTGAAAAAAGCTTCCCTTCTTAAACAGTGCTGGGAGGTGGTGGTGTGTTTATTTGTTGGGGTTTTTGCTTCATTCTTCTGTCAAGCAAAGATTTACTGAATTGACCTATTCTTTGTCTGTGTAAATGGAAAGTTATATTTACTAATTTGAGAGTAATCCACAGACACAGAACACTTAGACTATCTACTCTCCAACTGCCATTCAAATGCCTTCATCAGAGAACAGAACCAAGTTACAGTACCTTATATAATTAGTTTATTTTGGTTTACAAAACGTTAATATAAAGAATAGCATGTATGACGAATATGATGGACCAAGAACAGAAACCAAGCTACAAGGACTTCACTCAGGCAGCAATGCCTTTAATTGATCTTGTTTATTTATGCAGTGAAAGCTGCTAGGCACATGACAAATTCCTATTTCCCTCCAGGTAACAACTGCTGCCACCATACCCACAAAATCTAGTAATTCTGACCAAAACGAATCCTCATAAGGGTCCTTTTGACATCACTTGTCAGTTCCCTGTCCCTTGCAGGTGGAAAGGGGAATATTTGGTTACATGTCTTCAGTATTATACCCAAGTAGGTTCCATGATAATTATGTTTTAAGAATACAAGTCACTCTCACTCAGTACAGTTTCACATCTTTGCCACCAGCAATGCTACATCTTATCACTTCTCTTTACAGTCTCCTTTCTGCTGTAAACAAAGCTGAAACAGTATTACACAGATTACCCTGCCCTAGAAAGCCTCCTCATTACCTTTAAGAGATTAATCAAGAAAGATTAAAGTGTCAGATATTTTGTTCTATACCAGATGCCTTTTCTTCCTCAAGTAGTAAGCAATCAGATACTATGATCAAACTGAAAACGCAGGAAGTCCAAGCAACATTACCATGTTGCCTGCACCAGTGGTAGGAGCAGTATCACTACCATGAAATGATGCTGCTTTGACACACTCCAGAAGTTTTCAGCAAATGTTACTCAAATCCTAATAAAAAATTAACACATACAACCTATAAGCAACACAAAATATCAAGCAAACAAGCAGAGCTTCTGATGTCCTCTCTCCAGACAGAGAGAACTCAACATGTATGTTCACTACTTGCCCAGCATTTGTTCTGTCAGTGATCAACAATTATCTCCTGCAGTTGCCTGTACTGAAGGGATGTGGTCCCACAGCAAAGGCTCTGCAAGCACTCTCACAGCCCTCAAAACAGTACATCTGCCAACATGGTCTAGTGTTAAACTGAATCTTAATAAAGGGCTCATGTTTAAATACACAGCTCCACAGTTAAAGTCTAGTTATCCTTGTATAAAAAGATGCTCAGTCTATCCAAATTATAGAAGATTTGGAGCATCCATGAGTTTGTTCTTCACAGGCGTTAGTCCCCGCTGAAGGTACTAAGAAAAATGACACAAAAATCTGATCACAACTAGACTGAAATCTTACCTTAACCGTTGTAGGTTTCCAAAAACTGCAAAATTGGGTTTTTCTACCACAGTATAGTTTGGGTTGGAAGGGACCTTAAAGACCATCTAGTTCCAACCCCCCTGCCATGGGCAGGGAGACCTGGTGCCTCACGTCCTCACCCACCCTGGCCTTGAAGACATCCAGGGATGGGGCATCCACAGCTTCTCTGGGCAACCTGTTCCAGTGCCTCACCACCTTCTCAGCGAAGAACTTCTTCCTGATACCTAAACCTCCCCACACTCAATTTAAACCCATTACCCCTTGTCCTGTTACTACAGGCTCTTGTAAAAAGTCCCCTCCAGCTTCCTTGTAGCCCCTTCAGGTACTGGAAGGTGCAATAAGATCTCCCCGGAGCCTTCTCTTCCCCAGGCTGAACAAGCCCAACTCTCTCAGCCTTTCTTCATAGGAGACGTGCTCATGGGGGGTTTTTTCATACTTTTCAACCACAACATATCCAGATATTATTTACTGGATTTTTTGCTAGAATGGACTGCTAAAGCATATTATACTCACCCATGCTTAGCTTATTTTGGGTAAGAGGTTGAAGTGATAAGTAAACCCAAGTTTCACATCTTTAAAAAGAGCATTCCTCCCATCAGCATAAAGCATGTTAAAAGAAAAATCCCACAGTGAACAATTTCTTGGAAGTATGATGTCAAGTACCTGACTCAGTTCTTCCTATTACTAATCTCAGGTATTACTGCTCTGAACACACCTAACTGAGTCCAACATTGCAAATGAGTGAAAAGGCACCATTCCAAACTACTGCTTTAACTTTAGGACACATAAAAAGTATTTTCTTCTTGCCCTAGCTCAGACAGGACAGAAAGAGCCGAGATCCATTAACTGTTCCATATCAGCACTATTTTTCTTATTTCCATGCAAATACTGCAACTCATGTATTAGCTTTTACAGCAGTTATTTATTCTTAGAAAAGGACTAAACCATGTAATTTTATTTTTTTAAAAGTTACTGGAAACTCAATTTCCAGCATCAAAACAGAGACAAATTTTGGAGAAAAAGTTTCAGACAAGCTTTGCTATACTAAAAAGTTTATTCTGAAGAGCAAAGCACTGCTGGCATAAAATTGGTCACTGGATTTCAGAACAACCACCAAATACAAGGTGTGTTTCTAAGCAAGTGGTAAAGGAGCCAGGGAGCATAGCTCTCCTTTTCTACATTGCTGTAAGCCAGAAGAGTTGTTTTCTGTTAAATCTTCATAGCATCATCATCTGAAAAATTCTATTATCATCCACCCGTTTCATGAAATGAAATAAAAAAGATTAGAGAGTAACACTGAAAGAAGAGTACTGTTACAGCTACAGACTGCAATTTCAGATTTATGTTTAAGTCGCACTGTAGACACGAAGCATTTCTATTCATGGGTTTCTAATAAAACGGTGATTTCCTTCACACTAGCAAGATACTACAAAAAGAAAAAAAGTTGTTTTAAAAAAGCACCTTGTTTCTTGCACTTACACAGTCCAGCGCAGCCTTTCTTTCAGCAACACACACGAATCACATTTTCCTTTGGAATAATCTGCTGCCAAAAGCTGCAGTAATAGCAAATGATCTTCACTAATCTGATTCTAACATAACTTAAACCTAGCTTTGGTCTCATTTACCTTTTAAATTAGTATTGGATAGTAATGAAAAGGAAAGATAGATGTCTGAAGCTCTTCCCAGGATCTCAGGGGTTACATTTTTCATACAAAAAAGTAGTGCTCTAAACAAATATGAAAATACAGGCAGGTAGCCACAATTCTCTTAAAAGCCACAGAAATAAGCAATGTAACATGATCATTACTAGAAACACTCAGACAACAGAGGGACACTGCCCATTTCTGTGAATGCTCATAACACCTTGTGACTTCAGTCATTCAACTGTACTGTTTTCAAGGAGTTTGGACTGATGCCTAAATTGAGTGTTGCTGTATTCATCTTATCTTTTGGACAGTTGTAAGATGAGCAAGACTAGGTACAGACATGTTTTTAAAGAAGCACAGATATGTTATGCAGAACTATAAAGCTGCTCAGTTGCAAGCAGTTTCACATTTGAAAAAAGTAGAGTACATAATCACATATAATAAAATCTTGCTATTCCTCCCTGTTTCATCTTACTCAACAGCCCAAAATCCATGAGCAAGCTTCTAGCAATTTTTGTATAGAGG